AACTGAGTCTAGCACTGCAGTTAAACTAACGATCATGTTAACGAAATTTCACTAATTTATGTTCCACAGGGCTTCGTTGTACAAATAGGTTAATGTATGCATGATATACATGTATACCTGTACTCACAGTCCTGATATCCACATGATGAAAGACAAAACCATTTATTAAACTGCAGTTATTGTGCATCTTAAGCTGTTTGGAGTACACTGTTCTTCTGAATTCTCTCTGCAGTTTTAAAGTCTTTAAATCATGTTCCCCCCCCAAATCTGATTAGTCAGGCAAGTCACAACAGTCCAACTTCACAAGCAACTGGCCCACTACTGTTAAAAACCCTACTTCTTGTGAAACTAAGCAGGATTGAAAGATTACAATATCGACATTTTACTGGACACTACTCTGTCTACATCAGTTAAAAAGTGCAAACAGGAAAAAAGTCAGCTATGGGTAGAAAAGAACCCTACTATTTCTCCAAAGACTGTAGATTTTAATTTTCCAACAGAAACATACCACTTGCTGTTACTCTGCCAAATACCGAGATACTTAATCATATAGTAAGAAATATACTCATGCTAGGGATTTTCTAAACCTTTTAGAAATACTCTTCTGCTCTTTTCCCAGAATCTTGTAAGCTGGGGAGACACTTCTGAAAAAGTTTTGCTACCAAATATGGCATATACAGGTTATAAAAACATAAAGGTATAATCATCATATTTTTTACTTAAGCTTACTGATGGGTTTGCCAAATTAACCAGCCCAGAATTGTGGAATTGTGTGTGTGTGTGTGTGTATATATATATATATATATTTATATAATTAAACCTCATTTTGTATTTGCATATTGTCTTAAGACTGTATTCATCCTCTGTTTTGGTATTTTACACACTTACAAAGATACTCTAAAATTTTGTCTTATTAAGAGAAAAATTGCATAGAATGAGAAAAAACTTCTGTGGTAACTTTGGGATCTTATAACTTGTAAATTAGCAATGAAAGCACTGAGATAAGTCTTTGGGAGTACATCTGAAGTTTTAATGAGTCAGATTACAAAAAGCCATAGTGGGAGTTTTATATGAGGAAGCTTTAAAGTTAGTTGCAATGTATTAAAAAACAACATTCCAATAAATTATTTTTCACTGCAGTATGCCAAGTTTTTTGAGATTGAATTAAAATTGGGCTTTCATTTTAGACCAAGTAAAGCATAATATTAGACTATAATACTGCATAGACTAGTGAGATCCATATGCCCATGGTGTTGCAAGAGAACATTTTCCCTCAGGCATTTGAAATTTAATGCTTCTTTAATATTCCCTGTTGGATATTGTTAGAATGGAATTTCAAATATTTCCTGCAATTTGAGTTAAAGATTACTGAATAATGCTGAGCAGCAAAAAATTTTTGAAGCGTACATCTAAAGCTGGCATAGTAGCTTAATGTCCTGTTGTTTCTTGCTTTAGCAAAATTAATTTCTACAGTCTTCAACCATGAATTCAAGCACCACCTGGAGATACAAACCCATAATTTAACTGTGGTGTATTTCTAGCTCCCTTGACTAATACACTGAGGCTAGACCTTGTATGTCAGGCAGCTATAAAAGGAAAAGGCCATTTCATAGCAATACTTTACACTCTCCTTAGTCAGACAGCAGGCAACTTGAAAAACAGTATCTGGCCCATTATTGTAAATAAATGGGATTACCTGTCATGAAATAAGTGCACATAGTTTTGCCTATATTAAAAGTATATATTCTACTATATAGTCAAGAGTAACGCCTTTTCAGTAAGACTCAGAATATTCAGAAGGCTTTTATACAATTCAGATCCAGCCTTTTCGCCATACATGTATTAGTGCATTACCATGGCTAGTCAGTACAGGTAAGGGTAGACTGCAAATTACACCTAACAAAAGGACGTAGTTGTATCATTCTAGAAACAAACTACAAAAAGACTGACTATAATCATGATTCCCTTTGCTTGATTACTTCATGGAGAAGCCTCTTTCATCCAAAAACGCAGCTACTTTCTTTCCCATCATTTGTGTCCACAGTATAAGTGGTCACACTCCCAATTTTATTCCATGGCCACGGCTCCCTTATCATTCATACCGGGCACATGCAGGCTCACTCCTTGGCTCTCTCCTAGAGGAAGCCCACCAGTTCTCCTCATGGCTTGGGACGCTGCTTTGGCCAGCATGACCACTGTGAGTTCAAACGACATAATTCCTCAACACCATCCCAGCCAGGTAAGGCAACTCTGAATGCCTTCATGACACACCCAGATGTTTTAAGCATTGATCCTCAGTCTCGTGCTGTAAGAAAACCATTCTCTTGCATTCCAGCACAACCGTCGTTAACACTCGGAACCGACAAACCAACAAAAATATATGTATGCATGTTTCTGAGCTGCAGGGAACTCAAAATTATGCAACGTGTGTATAGCCAGTAGACTCCACACAGCCAGAATCATGGGCCTACACTTTTATTAAGAGATGGGGACAGTTCAGCCTTACAGCGTACAACTGATTGAATACAAGCAATTGAGTACTTGTGTTTATGTGAGAAAAATGAATAAATAAAATTTCTTCTTTCTTTCCTCAATGATCAGTAAAAACACTGAGTACGGACAGCGCTATTAGCAACACTAAAGTCATCCACAGACTCTGCTGCTGCATTAAAACCAGTCTGGATAAGGTTTCCAAAAGCAGGCCAGATATCAAAATGAATCTGTGAAGCAACAGAAAAGCCTCCATACAGGAAACAAAGTGTTTAGTTGGCTCTTAAGATTATTTCTGATAAATTCATATTTTAAAAGTTACATTTCACATATGAATAATGTCATTAAGACAAAAATTTATCAATATTTTTCTTCTGTAAAGAGTTATTTTTTTTAAACAGTTAATTTTAGAAAGTCAACATTATAAGGCATCATTCTCCCTCCCCATATATTTCTTTAAAATACCATTGAATACTTGGGGGAGGAAAAAAAGGAGAAAAATTCAATCTGTGTAATGGCAGTTATTAACAACTTCGTTCTGTGAAAACACAGAAACAAATACAAATGGATATTGTAAAATAAGTTGAAATATTTGAATCAAACTGTGTGATCGCAATTCATAGAAATAACCTTAATGAGAGCAGCACCTGTAATTATGTGACAGGCTGGGCTTGGAAGAACATCCATCAGTCATTGTGACATAGAAAGGATGGATAAAGGAAGATGGATTCACCTGCCTGCACTGAGTCTGAAAAATGGAAAGTAATCATTATGGCTGGTAACTTCTTATATGAGAATTTATTCCCTGATTATCAGGTTCTAATGAAGAAGTGCAAAAGAAAGTCATATAAACGAAAAAGCAAACATTTATTTTAAATAGAAGCGGTTTTGCCACTTGACTAAATGCTTACCTCATTTTAAAAAATTTACAAGGACATCAGCTTAATGTTTGTCTAGTTTGGGGGGTGGGGAGTTGTTGTGGGTTTTCTTTTAATTGTTGTAATGAATTAATTTAAGATTACAAGGTTTGATTTTGTAGAATTTGGATTATTACACAGGTCATTTCTTCTATAGAATACCAACCTGCCTCTTCTGATTGAATTTAAAACACATCAACACTTTTATGTGGTTTTATAAAACAAGAGGAAACTGAATGAAGAAGCTATTGCACAGGACCAAGATAATTTTTAGATGTTCATAAAAAAAGCAGATTTTCATTATTCATATGCTTGCAGCTAATGCATTAACCTGCTAATGTAACTGAACATACTAAAACAGGCTGGTATAACCCTCATTCAAAAGAAGCAATGTGATAGATATGCCTTGGAAACTCACCGTATCAACACAACGGTTTCATGACACCCCAAAAATCAAATCAACCAAGGAAATGTACCATTTCTTGCGATCAGGGTAACATTCTTTTTACACGATTCCCTAATCTGACATTCTTCTTGTTGCATTTTAACTAGGAAGTCACATTTCCCAAGGAAATTGCTTTATTACTTTTATACAGTATGCATGGGAAAAAAAAATAAATCTTTAGATGAACTTTAATGCAAGTATTTCAAATAGTTAACTAATTGAATCGATGATGTCCAGATTATGGACTGGCAGTTTTCATCACAAATGTACATTCAGGTTCTACGGTCTGGAAACCCACTTAGCAGAACAGCCAGAGAACAAATACAGAAAAGCACTTTCTGTCATACTCATGCCATTCTCCCACTTCCAACGGATGCTGTTCTCCTCCCCTCCCTCCATTTCCCATCTCCCAAGGGTTTGGAAAAGCCTCCACCACCTCAGTTCACCTACCACAGGAAGGAGGACCTAATTCACTCAGAAGTTACAAGTCACAATCAACCTCCTCCACACACTGACATCAGTGAGTAAAAAATCCACGCGTCGCTGACACAAAGTGTCTGTTCAACCCAGAAAAAGACACTTGTGTTAAGGTAGAAGAGAATCCAGTAAGACTATTTCTCATACACCAGGAACACAATTCTTCTGTTCTCCTTGCAATAACTCAGAGATCAGCTTTGCTGAATTTACAGCCAATACACCAAAGTCTTTGTGTGTGTGTGCGCGCGCACATTTTTGTTGTTTTGTTTGTTTGTTTGTTTTTAACGGGGATTCTCTATACACTGTACTTGTAAGAACTGTGAGAAGAAATCCTCCAAAAACGGTTCACAGATGGTAGATGGTGATAGATCTTCCAAGGTCTCTCAGCTTTGTCTACAGCGGGGTCGCCAATATCAAGCCACTGTGCTACCACAACCCCCAGTCTGCGATGGAGACCTGCAACACCCAAACTGCACTGCAGACCTACGAGCACCAGGCCAAGCACCTCAGAGCTACCCACGCACCAGCAGCAAAGGAGGCCTGAACTGTTACAGTGTCCTCTGTCAAATGTACAACAGCTGCTTGAACTATTAACCTACTTAGAAATAAGAAACAAAAAGGAACATTCTGGTCACAATTTTTATTAAGATTTGACTCATGAATAGTTCATAAAGATTACTAATACATATTACAAGCATGCTACATACATCATTTCTCTCTCTTCATAGTCAGTAGGCACGTGAGTACAGAATGTTTTATGACATTTTATCTACCTATTGAAAACATACTAAAGTCTGTAGAAATCAATTAATGAATGATTAATCACCTCTAACTATGTAAAAACCCAACTAAACTATTAAGACATAATAATAAAGGCATAGAAGAAAATGAAACCAGTTCCAAAGAAAGCAAACATTACAAAAATAAGTTTTCTGAACCACAAGAAAAAAAAAAAAACAAAACAGGGTTATAAGCAGAATTTCTAGATACGTCAGTTTCTTCATATTATTTAATGTATACGCAGCATCACGTAACTGAAGTTTGGAAATAAACAGTGAAGAATAAGTTTTGGGCACTAGCACTAGGAATACAAAAAAAAATTAATCATGTATAAAAGTGTAAGTTCTTAAGGCAAACTTATCTATATTCATTTTCTAAACTAAGATTTTAATTTTCTTTGTTATATCTATGTCTTTATCTTTTTAAAACTCTATTACAGATTTCCCGCATACCTTTAAAAATAGCTTTTGATCCTCCTAATCCCATTTCAGTACTTTTTTGTAGTGCTTTATTTCTGAAAAATCCCTTACTATTATTCCCTTGGATCATAACCCAGAAGAGGTTTCCAAAACTGTTCCAATTCTACTATATTTCTAGGATTGAAACCAAAAATTTTTTTTACAGTCTTAAAACATTTTAAATTTTAATTATGTCAGATTTAGCTACAAGAGACATGGTTTTGTATTAAAAACTGTAAGTAAATGCATGACATAAAAGAGAAACTGTATTATACATGGAGATGATAAAAAGATAACTTCACAAATTATTAAAAATTAAGTGTAAAAACTTACCTAAAAAAAATCATCAATTTCTATAGATGGCAATGAAGAAAAAGAAAATCCCATCCAAAATACAGTTAAAGAACGCAGCCAGCTGTTAACAGAGAATAATTCATTTTAAAATGTAAAAAAATAAAATAAATAAAGAGGAATTCTGGCAGACTACCCTTCGAAACTACTAATTGTCTTGAAAAATAATACTTAATCCCTGCAAAATGGAGATTAAAACTTCTTGAGTATTAAGTGTGTTGTTTAATTACCGCAATTTCCAAGTAATTCAATATCTTTCGAGTGCAAAAACTGTAAAGTGTATTTCAAGAATTAGCCAAGCACCCAATCCACATGCACACTAAATTTCCATTACTTCTTTTGCACGTAGTATGTTTCCATTTATGCAGTTCTTTGGTTTAAAGTGCTACAAAAAAGACCCATACTAATAAAATATAATGAACATGAAAAAATTACACCAACACCTTACGATCTCAAAAAATATTGGCAATAGAAGATGCAAAAGTGGCAAGAAAATTATAAGACATAACACACTGGAGGAATTCTGAACACTGGGACAAAGTTGACAGGAAAAATGGCATTAAATTTAGAATGAAAATATCAAAAACTTTGAAAAGGTGGTAAGACTAATAAATCAGCAAAAATAAGTCAAATATGCCACGCTTCTTGAAGATAAAGAGAAGATGGAAGAAAATTTGGAAGAGAAGATTTAGGAGACTGGGCTGCAGAAGCTCAAACACCGCGTGTTTATAGATTCCTACAGTGATAACAGTCTCAAGACAGTAGCGTGATTTAACAGCACAAGAAACACTACCAAGAACCAACACTTCCTACAACACCAAAAAGGTTTCTACCCAGAGGCAAAAGATATATTTAAAAAACTAAAAAACACCAGGAAAAGGAGTTGTAAAAACCTAATGGAGAGACAACAGCATCGCTCATTTGCATTTTGTTTTGAAGATATTAAAGCTTAACAAGGAGAAACAAAATTTAAGCCAAGTAAAAATGAAATATTAGAATTGTTAAGTTTTGGTAACTTTAAAGATTACACCACATCATAAAAGGTGAAACTTTAAAGCATCTTTAGTTAAATTAGCACAAAATACAGCACAGTCTTAAACCAATTTAACTCTTATCTTGGATTAATTATACTGGGAACAAATTTAAAATCAACTAATATACAGGTCTCTGACAAACAGAAGCATTTACATAGGGCTTTGAACCATATTCACTACAAATCACTTTCAACACGAGGTATGTTATCTTTAACAAATAATTCAAGGAGCACAAGCTTGGGCAAAAAAAGGGGAACAAATGGAAACAGAGCCTTACCTACATAAGAGTTTGATTAGCTTAACTGAAATCCACTAAACCAATACAGTCTGCTATGCTGACATAGACAAATCAGTTTACAGCATGCTAACACTGATTTAGCTGAAAATTGATAAGGAATCAATTTAAACTGAACCGATTATGATGAGTGAAAATTACCTTATGTGGGTCCACATCAGGTTTTGCATACATTTAAATCTTAAATACTCTTAAATAGCATTAATTAAGTCTGTACAACATCTGGGTGTGAAACAGGTTAGTTGCTAGGGCAAAGAATTTTAGAACACTCCGGAATAGTCTGACTGAAAAACAAGCTTCCTTCTACTTACCAAGCTTCTCTACATTTCACAGCAAGCCAGCCCTCAGCTTTTCTTGCAGCTATTTGGCTTTCAAATTCATCCCCAGAAGGGAACTTAGGTACAGTCTTCATTCATATTAAAAATGTACAGTTCTTAACCGATATAAATCAGTATAGTTTGACATTTAAAATAAACTAAGTATGACTGTACCTTTTCAAGTCTGATACTGCAGTTTTCTGTACTGCAGAAGCTGTCAGAGATTCAGCTAGAGACTAGCTCAAGCCACAGGAAGTTTTGAGCACGATTAGCAACAAGACTCCTAAAATGAGAACAAGTTGCATCACAAGCATAAATATTGAAAGTTACTGCCCTAAAGGAGTAACTTCTTATTTCTGTCTGAGGACTGAAGAAGAAATTGCATTAAGTGTACATGCTGTTTAGATCAGTTTTTAAAAATACAGTCGACTGTAAGGGCTAGATTAAGATTTAAAACTAATCCTGCATTATATTCAGACAAGTGAGGCTTCACTAAACAATTAAATTACAGAATTTTTCCGATAAGGAACCCTGTCAGGATCTGAGAAAGAAAAATCAGCTGTGCCATCCAAGATTCTTTAATAGCACAACACTGTTCATGTGCTTTTTGCTGATGTATTTATGCCAGTATAAGCCTCAGTTCAGGCACAGACCAAAAGAGTTTATTTAGCCAACAATCCAAAATACAACTAAACGAATAGTTTTATTTTTGTACAACGGATCACTAGTTTAGTCATTCTGCTTTAACAGCAGAGTTGCTCAGGTAAGCTCTCACTAAATAAAAGGAAGCGGCCAAGCGCAAGCTCAGGGGGTTTTGTAAAGCGTAGCTATTATGCACGTTCTGAAGAGCCCAAAGAAAGGTGCCACAGGCGGCAGGGAGAGGGGAACCGAGGGAAGAAGGCCGGCGCCTGCATGACAGCCACAGGCAGCACCCGAGAGCAGCGGGTCTGGGCTCCCGGGAGGCGCGGGTGGCTGCAGACAGCTTCCCGCAGGGAGGCCGGGCCTGAGGGAAAGGCGGGCCGGAGGATGTGGTGAGGGGAAAGCGGGCGGCAAGCGAGGGGAAAGCGAGGGGAAAGCGAGGGGAAAGCGAGGGGAAAGCGAAGGGAAAGCGAGGGGAAAGCGAGGGGAAAGCGAGGGGAAAGCGAGGGGAAAGCGAGGGGAAAGCGAGGGGAAAGCGAGGGGAAAGCGAGGGGAAAGCGAGGGGAAAGCGAGGGGAAAGCGAGGGGAAAGCGAGGGGAAAGCGAGGGGAAAGCGAGGGGAAAGCGAGGGGAAAGCGAGGGGAAAGCGAGGGGAAAGCGGGCGGCAAGCTCTGCCCGCCCTCACGGCGCCCGGGGCTCGGCCTGAGGAGAGGAGCTCCCTGCTTGCGCGTCCCCGCTCGCACACCCCCTCACGCACCCCCCCCACCCCCCCCCCCAATCGCCTCACGGAGGTGGCGGCCGCTGCCCGGCAACAGCCCGACCCCGCCACGCTGCCCACCCCCGGGGAAAAGACACGGCCAGGCCACGCACCCGAACCCACCGAGCGCTCCCAGGAGGAGACGGGAGGGGGTGAGGCTGGAAGGTGGGGGGTGAAGGGGGGGACCGGGGAGCGCCGCCGCCAGTGCCAGGTTTTTCCCGCCCGCCCGCCCGGCCCGCGCGCCGGTCCCCGTCACCTAGCAACCGCAGAAGCACCGCCGCCTTGCGCACGCGCGGCACCCCCCCCCCCCACTCTCGCGGCGCTCGACGCCAACATCCCGCCCCCCAACCTCCTCCTCCCACGCGCATGCGCCTCCCCCCCCCCGCACCGGCGCACAGCCGGCCCTGCGCCTGGCGCATGCGCAAAACGAAGCCCCCCGCTTCCCGCACATCCCCCTCCCCTTGGCGAGCGCATGCGCAAAGGAAGGGGAGCCCGCATGGTGCCCCCTAGCGGTTCTCAGCGGAGCCGCTCTCGCCGCTCTGCGCCTCAATGAATGGGGCGGGTGAGGCGCCCGTGCCCCGAGGCACGCTGGGAGTTGTAGTTCTTCTCCAGCCCTAGACTGCGGGAGGGGGCGGCGGCGGCGACTACAGCCCCCAGGCGGGCGCGCGCGGCGGGCGCGCCACGCCTCCCCGCGGCCCCTCCGCCGCTGCGCCGTCGCGGCTCCAGTCGCGCTGTAGAGGTGACCCCCGGGGCTGCCGGATCTGCTGCTGCTCCTCCTCCTTCTCCTCTCAGCTATGGTCGGTACCGCTCGCCGAGGCGGCGGGGGTGGTGGGGGTGGGCGTATGTGTGCGCTCCCGTCAGGCGGAGGGGGCTGCGAAATGGCGTCTGGGGTGGGGGTCCCCGCAGCGCCGGCCTAGCATCGTCCCCGCCTCCCCTTCGCTGGCGTGAGGGGGAGGCCGGCTTGCGGGCCCGCTGGGGTCACACCCCCCCCCCCGCCCGGGCCTGGTGCTGGCCCATCCGCCGCTTAACCGCGCCTCTTCCCAAAGCCGGTGCCTCGCTGAACCCCGACGTTGCCTTCCAGAAGATGGGGATGCTTGCTCCTTCATTTCATGGGTCATTGAAAGTTCTGGGTGGAATTCCGTGCTAGCTCAAGGGGAAATGCATGCGAAGTGTTCTCCTCTCTTGTCTCATCCCTGCTTGCCGTTAGAAGTCCAGGTATTTGTGTAGGTTCTCCAAACCCTGAAGGATTCCTAGCTCTGCCCTGAGGTTATGCAGATGTTTTCGTGCTCTGAAATGTGGTTTATTATTTCAGCTATATGCCAAAAAATATTGAAATCTGCAGACCTTATCTATCCTAATTCTCCATTCTTATTTCCACTTAAAATATGGATTCTCAAGAGTGACCCCAAGGCAGCAAGTTTTGGTTTGTACTTGAGCTTTCACAACGTTGGGTGCTGCGAGTTTGCTTGTCTTCAGGAGAACAGATATTTCAAACTTACTTTGATGCCCAGACTTTAAACTTATGAAACAAAATCATGGGTCAATAACGGCTGTTAGCTAAATGAAATGGAAAATGCTTTTAAGGGCACCTGCCTCAAGGTCATTTCTTAAGGAAAGTCATCCTTTGAAATTCAGTCTATGAACCACAGCGCTGCTGGGGTTGCTAAAGAGCACACAACTGCCTTGCTGATACTTTCAACCACTTTTCTAAGTGCATTTAGTGTCACTGCAACCTTGCTTTAAAGAGGGAAGAGCAAAGGAAAAATTTGTTAGGCAGGCTCTAGGCTTTTGAGGAGATACAGTTTAATGCTTAAAGCATTTTGTCAAGCGAGGTGGGGTAGCTTAGTTGGCTTTAATATTCAGGAGTAATGTTAGGTTGATGATATTTTACAATTATCAGCAATAATGTTTATAGAGGTCTTTTATAACCATAATTAGTAATGCAAAGTCCATCACTTGTGTAGCCAGGACATTGATTTTTCTCATTTCTGATTGGCTAAATTGTGAGTTATTTAGTGTTACTCTTTTACTTTGTAATCTCCTGAGTCAGTTTTGCAGTGTAGTACTATTTTCATGTACGGTACTAATATTTTAGGTCCACTAATATCAGTGGTAATCAGAGAGATAATTTAGACACTGAGTTCTTAAGCCACAGTGGGTGTGCACAGAAGGCACTAAATCCTCAGCTTCCTCATTTGATATTGGAAGCTTTACTTTTGTCTGTGATATTTTAAGGGCAGTGGGGGGGGCTAAATCCTGCACATTTGCTAAATTAGAGGGAGAAGGGTATCCAAGGATGTAGTGTTCGCTTTTTTAATTTTGCTTTGGTCTTCATTATTTTTAGTACCTTTTCTGTTTCTTAAAACTTTCTAAGTATACCTCCGATGTATGTGAAGTGAGAAAGGCTTTGAAACTATTTCATGTGGTTAGGTTTGGTTTAATTTGTCCTTTAGTTCTTGTATACCTGAGTAAAGGTCACCTCTGTAGTTACCACAGCATGAAAGTATTCTTATCGAAGCCCAGTGCAAGAGCCAGGTCACGGATTAAAGTGCCTGAACATGAATGTGTGGAACCTACAACTCCCCTAAGGGAGCTACGCATTTCTCTAAACTCCCCACCTCCAAGAGTAGCCTCAGATGCTCAGTGATACCAATTCTTACATGTAATGGGATGTAAGTTTTCTGGGGAGAGTTTAACTATATTGTGTAAGAAGCACAACATTTTTGGCTTGTTAATCCAGCTTCTGGAATCAAGAGAAAGCATGAAAATTTCTTTGATACTAATTGCTCACGATTGGTGCATGGGTAGGGTGTGTTGGGGAAAGCTTGTATGTGAATCCAATGTACTGAAGGCTTGGAGAGAATAAACAAGTAGGCAGTACTCCTAACCTTATTTTAGCTTAGGTTTCTTCCTCCTCCAGTCATAAATGGGGGGAGAGCAGGAAGGGTGGTAGTAAGAAAACATAATATTTTTTGAGTGAAGCTGAGTCATCACTGAAGGATATTTTTTTAACAAGGCTAAGTCTGTCTCTGTTAAAAAAAAATAAAAAGATAGTTCTAACTCTTACCTTTTTATCTTCCACTCCTCCTCACTCCTATTGTTCTGCTAAATACTCACCATAAGGCTAGTGGATAGATTGACGTTTATGTTTAAATCAGATTAACATATAAAGTGCATGTAGTGGAAGAAATTCTCATTGACTTTCCCCTTTTTTGTGACACTGATTTAGACAGGCTCACGGGGTTGTGAAGGAGAAAGAGCCTAACTTCTTAAAATCTGCGTTCCGTTCACTGAAAATTCAGAAATCAATTCACAATTGATTTCAGATGCCATGTAATTCAAAGAAAATGTGTTCTCCTGTTATCTGTTTTAGTTCTAGAGTGACATGCTTGGCACAGGGTCACTTTTTATTTGCTGCTGATACGGCATTTTGCCAGGCCAAGGTTTTGCAGCACAGTAATTTTCCAGTACTTATTTTCAAAACTAATGTGATTAGCTGCCTTAAAGAGCATTCATTGTTCCATTTACTTAAATAAAATATATATTCTCCTTAAAACCATGCTGAAAAGTTGGCTTTAAAATCATCATCTGTGCTGCCCACTGTCATTCAGACATTACGGGACATTGGTAGGGTATAACTTCCGGACTCAAGAACAGCGTATGCAAGCTAGTTTTGAGATTTAAAACAGCAAGAATCCATTGTTTGCTTTCCTTCCCCCTCCTCTCAGAGTTCTGATGAGGTGTGAAGGATGAGACTTGCAGTATGACAGGTTTGAAGGGAAATAATGCAGTTTGACACCATAACAAGTAGTCATTTAACTAAATATTTAAAGAATCATTCTCATAATGAAGGCCAAATTATGTTAAGATCTAAATCTGAGTTTATTACAATTCTTAGGGATATTTTTGCAAGCATGGTCCGTTTCTGTAAAAACAAGTAGACAAATTGCTGGTGGTCCTAGCAGGAGAGAAGTATGATCCCAAGGAGCTGGCCCTAGTAGTTTAACTTCATCATTTGTGCTCTCATTTTATCTAGTATGTGGTAAAATGGGGTAGGTGGCCTCATTTTTATAGTTACCTAATGCCATCTTGATGCAGCTGTGCTTTGCTTGTCACTTCTACAGAGAGAATACACTCAAATCCCAAAATGGTTTTCCTATAAATATCAATGACTGGAATGTTGGTTGGAAAGGATCTCTAGAGGTTATCCAGTCTGACCTCTTTCTTGCTCTGAGCCTGGAGGTTGTCCAGTCCAGCCTGATAGCAAGGTTTTTGCCACTGCTAAATCAGGTCATACACGTTTTGTCATCTGGGTCTTGGAAACTGCCAAGGATGAAGGTTGCACAAACTCTCTGGATACCCTGTTCCAGGGCAGCAGTACCACCCTAATCAAGAATTTTTCTCTTAATTTGTAGCCATTTCCCTGTGTTCTGCCATCTGTCATTACTGAGAGGTGTTTGCCAGCGTTATTTTTGTAACCTTCTTCGAAGTCGTAGTAAGGCTGCTGTTAGATCACCCCTTGTCCTCTACCTTTCCAGACTACACTCAGCTCCCTCAGTTTCATTTAAATAGGACATGAACTCTGGGCCCCAGCCACCTGTTTGCCTGGACACTCTTTAGTTTTTCCAACATCCCTCTAAAACTTACGTTCCCAAAACAGGACTCAGTATTCCAGCTGCAACCACCAGCGCTCAGCAAAATGCCTGCCTTTGCTCTGCAAGCTTTTCATAATGTAGCCCAGTATGCAATTAAATCACTTCAGACATAATTGAATATGGAAGATCTTTTGTCCATAATTCAAATTATAGTCTTTTAATTATTTGAAAAACTGGGCATGGGATTCCAGCAGGCTGGTCAGAGTCTGCTTGTTCATGTCCTAGCACAATCTGCCCCAGCCCTAGGGCCTCCAGGGGAAAAATGAAGAGACAGAAGAACAGGCTTACAGAATATTAGATTATGAGTGTCCTTTAGCATATTTTCCCTTTTCAATATTAAATAACCTCTGAAGTTTCCCAAGTCTGGATTCTGCTTAACAAAATGGACTTTTCCTATAGGGTAAACTTCCTCCTCCCTTCCCCCTGTTTGCAATATAGCAATGTATTGCCAGTCTTCTAGCCTTTTGGAGTTTAGGATCAGTTTGACAGTGGTATTATGGATATTAGTGTCTATATTTGACCATAATGTAGCTTTTATCTGTGGATTTGTTAAATTG